AGCAGTGCAAGGAGTGCAACCGCTGGGAGATGGAGTGCTTCTCTCTCTCAGGGACTTCAGAGAGGTTTCATTTACATTTACACACTGAGCATTCAGGTCACACGCTCATGCATGGATTACCAATAAACCAGGCACTTGACATTTCTTGGGCAAGACACCCAGGGAACTGTGTGCACCGTGGACACGTTACGTTACTGTATCTTTAATCTTTCAGTCTCAGGACCCTTAACTCACCCAAAAACAGTGTCTGTCTCTTTTTCTGAGGCCCTGACAACCTTTGGCTCCAGATACAGAAAGGTTGCCTTGAATAATGTGTTCGCTCAACCTTCTTGTTAAATACTGAAATATCTCAACTTGATTGGGGTGGATTGTGAGATTTCTACAACTTCCCCCCACATTGTTTTTCTTAATTGCATTTTTTTTGGTTTTTTTGTGATATACCTCAACAACTTGATTGCCAATAGGATGAACTGCTATGGGCTGGCTGGCTTCAAGACACTTCTTGTTTATTTCTCATTAGAAATATGAACATCAATGATTTCAACATCTTAAAACATTCCACCAAAAACATTTTTCTTGTTCTATGGGAAAATAGAAAAAACAATCCCTTGTGCCCAAACATCCTGTGGCCCTCAGCCCACTTCTCCATGTGCTTGTTGGGGCAACATAAAACTTGGTGACAACAACATTGAGGCTGAGAAAAAAAGGTTTGAGGAACCACCAGAGAACTTGGTGTGAGGCCACAGTTTACATCCTGTTGGCGACATGAACATATGAGTGATGAAGATGAATTCCTGTAAGAGCTGCAAACAGGGAGATGCATTACGTATTTCATTGACAGTGGAGCATCCCAGCGGAGAACAGAATGTTTCCAGCTTTTGTTTTCAATTTTATTCATACGCACATTGTCAAAACTTTACTGAAACCATCTTGTAAGGATTTGATCTTAGTGTGTAAAGGCCATAATTCATCTCGGTTTTGAGAATTTCGTAAATATCATGGAGTAAGAATAAACCACATCTACCTAATGAACCTTTTTTTTGCAGTTTAGGTGTTTTTTCTTTGTGGCGTTCAACAGCTTCAACACCTGACTTACTAAGTGGTTGTGTGTGTTTCTGTCGCTGAGGAAGAATGTCTCCCTGTCAAGTGTAATTGTTTTCATTTGAAATGTTTTGCATGCAACTAATTATGATTTTAGTATCAAATAACCACAAAATAAATGTTTTCCTTAAGAAGCTCAGTGACTCATGCTGAAGACGATGCTTTAGACAGAAGATTAAACAAAATCTCTCATGAGGTACACAGTCAAAGT